TCTTTTAAAAGTGAAAAAATATTTGTTTAATTTCCCTTGATTCCATAAAAAAAAATGATTGGGGAAAAGTTTTAAGTTTAAAAACAAGGTTTTAGGAAAGTAAATCAAAGATTCAAAAGAAATTTTTTGTTTTAAAATAAATAAATCAAAGTAAGTAAAATTTGTTTTTGATAGAGTGTTAAATAAGTTTTGAAAATTTTGAATAAGATATTTTGTAAATAAGTTCAGTTACCTACATAATTTTTTTTATAACTAAATAAGTTTTAAACGAATTTCAAACCCAAAATAAAATAAAAAGTTTTTTTTATAAAAAATAAAAAAGTTTGTATTTTAAAAAAGAAACTTAAGTTATATCCTAAGGTGTTGCCACATTGGTAAGAGGTTTGAGTTAACACTCATGTCACAAGTTAAAGTCTCAATGTGCCCTAAACTAATTTTTTTATTTATTATACCTATTAATTTATATCTTATAACAAAATGTGAATTAATATAACGTGAGACATTTCAATCAAAACACAAAAATATTTTTCTCTTTTTGGACCAAATAAAATAATAGGATAATTTTTTGCAAAATGTGGTATTGTTTTCGAATGGGTGTCATAAGGTGCTAACACCTTCCCTATACTCAGTGGTCATCACACATCGTAGATGATTGGTGGTGACTCAAAATCCTTATCTCGAAAGAGACTCTTCCCGGGATGACATCGGCCGCTCCGCATCGCGATGATGTTGCGACAATATTATTTACTAACTAAAAGATTGAATATTTGAAGCTCCACATTTTATTGAACTCAAATAAAGAAACGAAGTATGGCAGCAAAAATAAATCGAGTAAAAGAAGAATTAAGTAAGAACTCCCATTGAACCGTGTGTAAGCAATTCTTTGTAAATAATAACTGGTCTCTCGATGAAAATAAAAAGTTCATCCAACGACATTTCAAGTGAAATTAATTCAATTTTTCCAATGAAAAGAGAAGAAAAGTGTTATAGGGAGAAAATAGAGATCAGCTAAGCAACCGAAAAGAGGAAAGAGAGCCGAAGAAGGAGCAGACCCGGAGGTAGGTAAATGGGTCGGGGTCCATCAACCCAAGCCGGCCGTGGCCGACAACCTCTCCAGTGATTCCCGACCCCTGTACAAGCCCAGTCCGAGTCGACTTGGTCTCGGCCCTAAATAGTACAGCATGAGGCCCCTTCTGTGATTAAGGATTCGACAAATGTAAACCTTAGGAGGATTAGAGTTGAGCCGGTCCTAAAGGAATTAGGAGTCGACCATTATAAATACAAGGGCAAGTCAAACCCTAGAGGTATGCCTAACAATCCTACTCTTTATACCCGATTACTCCGATAGCCCGTGTGGCAAAAACCACATCGATCCTAGTGTTGAACTGTTTTGCAAGTCTCATCAATTCCTTTGTTCTTGAAGATTGGTGCGAATTCGGCGAGATCCCAGGAGGCAGAATTCTAGCATCAACAAAAAGAATTGAAACCCATCTATTTGAATATATGAATGGTTTCCGTATTGCTATCTCACCAAAACACTCCTCTTTTCCAATTAACGTACTATTCGGATTGGTGGAGCAAAAAACAATGGAGGAGAAGGTGAAGATCTTGCAGGGGCCTGTTGGCCGAGAAAGTAATGCCACAAAATAAAGAAAAAAAAAGTCACGCACATTTCCGTTTTGGTGCTGTGGGATTCAACGCTGTGATGTTTTATGAAAGGGTGGTTTTATTTTTCGTCAAGGTTAGGCCGTGAAGTAAGTGGGCTGTTGTCGTGTATTGTTTGTGTCGTGCACAAATATTAAGAGGGTGTGGCAGCTTTGGCAAAGCAGAAAAGATCGAGATCCCGAGATTGTAGTGTGTTGTCGGCAACTAGTGCTCGAGTCAATTGGTGAGGTTTTCATTCCTATATAGGTTCATATTGATGTAGTACCTAGAAGCTAGGTGGCTTTGTCGAGGCCTCTAAAGAGTGATTATTGTTGATAGTTGTATCCCATTGTATTATCCCAAACATAGTACAACCATAATAAAAGTTGAAATAGATTTTTTCTCGTATTAAATTTAAATAGATTTCCTAATACATTTCACAGAGAGGAAAGTGTGGAAAATACTCATAGAAATAAAATAAATTCTTCTCATTGATTGAATTAAATCTTAACAAAAGTACCACGAGTCCTAGCTTAATCTTCTTCTCTTTCGAGCTTAAAGGGAGTTAAAAATCACTGGAAAGCGTTTAAGGAACGAAAATAAATGAAGTACAGAAGAGTTGGAACTTGAAAATAATTAAAACAAAACTTAATAAATGAGTTGTGAATAAACTAGGGCTCTAAAGCGTAAAACTGTAAAGAAATAAAAACAAGCTTGTTCTAACCAGAAATGAAGATGAAAATGAAGTAAAAACTTGATGAATTATGCTGAGAAAGCTCTTCAATTTATGGGCATGGAGGTAGTTGCAACTTGGCCACCAAAATAGGAGGGGAATGAAGCTCAAGTAATGGGATATTTTTCAACTGCACGAAATTTGACCCTAAAAACATCCACTTGACTGGGGAAGCTGACTTTGGAAATGTCCTTTATGCCCTTTTGTAAAAGAAAAAAAAACAAAGTTTTTGCTATAATTTTTCTATAAAGTGTGTATTTTAATCACAAAGTATTCTACTTTGAATTTCATGCCATAATAATATGCACTCTTCCCAATGTTTAACAACATGCAATCAAATTATGCAAACTATAAGAAGAAATGAATCATTTTAATACCAAAACAATGCAATCAAATTATGCAAACTATAAGAAGAAATGAATCATTTTAATACCAAAACATGCATAGAAAAGTACCTTTGAACCTTGTAAAATAAGGCTCATCAATAGTTCAGCCTCAGTATATGTATCTTCAGGCAGGTGGTGATTCAAGTCCTCCATTACAAAGAATCATGCCGCTGTGAGGATGGGAAATGGTAGACTCTCCAATATCAGAGGAATTGGGTATGTTTATATGAGAACTGACAGTGTGACCGAGTTAGTTCTACATGATGCAAGTATATACCCAGTTTCATAATGAGTTGATATCTGTAGGGAAGTCGGATGATGAAAGTTATAGAAGTGAGTTTGTAGAGACCATGTGGAAACTTATGAGAGGATCCGAGGTAGTGGTTGTTGGCCACAATGTACGAGTCGAGGTTTGGCGTTGCCAAATGATCAGAGAGACAGATTATGCACATGGTTGCAGATGGTTCAAGGGGAGACACAATAGAACCAGCAACAATGACAGTCAAGACAGACGAGAAGAATCTGTCATCAGTTTAGGTTAATTAACAGCTTGGAGGTCGAGAAAAGAATAAGAATAGCTCAATAAGTTGTTCAGCAAACTGTTAGTTTATAGCCCGAGTTGTTAGACGGTTTAGCAAACTGATGAAGTCGCATGGGTGTGAAAAAGAAGAATGACTACAGTAGGCTTTGAGGTCAAAAGTGAGATCTCTAGCTTGGCAACAGACTTGAGTAGGTTGGCCAAGTCATCAGAAAATAAGCCTTTCTTCAGGAGTCGTTGGATGCAATCGAATACGGAAGCGTCGGGGACCACTTAGTTTGAATAGGATCATGTGGTTGTGTCTTCTACGTTTGGGAGACAAGACCACACGATTGTCCAATCTTAGGACAATCACAGATGGAGCCTTGATTGTCACTAAGAAGATGTTAGAAGATGCCCATGCAGTGGGAGTATAGCCTTAGTTGGTGCCAAGAAGATTTTGATCGGTTTCTATTGGTGTTGTTGCAGTAGGAGGTGAAATTACCATTTTGTCCTCAAGTGGGAGATTATTGGGATTGGTGGAGCAAAAAACAATGGAGGAGAATGAAAAAAAGAATGAAAAACAAGTGAGGATGCTGCAGGGGCCTGTTGGACGAAAGAGCATCGTTGTCACGAAATAAAGAAAAAAAAACAGTCACGTGCGTTTCCATTTTGACGCTATGCTGTTTGTAGCGTCTCAACGCTACTGTAGTTTATAATAGAGTCGTTTTCTTTTTCGTTTAGTTTAGGTTGTGAAGTAAGTGGGTTGTTGTCGTGTATTGTTTTATATGTTGTTGCACAAATATTGAGATGGGTCGTGGCAGCTTTGGCAGAGTAGAAATGATCAAGATCCCATTTGTTGTAGTGGGTCGTTGGCAACCAGTGCTTGAGTCTATTGGTGAGGTTTTGCATTTTTGTATTCCTAGGTTTGCATGGTGTAGTACCTAAAAGCTAGGTTACTTTTGTCAAGGCCTCTAGAGAGTGATTATTGTTGAGAGTTGCATTCTATTGTATTATCCCAAATATAGTAGAACCCGCACATTGGAGAATAGTGGACGTAGCCATAGTTGGGTGAACTAATATAAATCTCTTATGTCGTTTATGTACTTTCTCTTATTCCTTATTGAGTACTTTACCTTAACTTACTGAATAACTGTGAAATGGAAAAGAGTTTGTAGTTAACCATTCTGGTGTGCGCATAGTAACATACGGCATTTTTTCCAACACTTACAAGTTTAGTTTATCAACTTTAAAAGTCGTATTTCATAGATTTTTTTATCTTCAATTTTGTATCTAATAAAACTCTAACCTTCCGATCCTTTTTCTAATAAAGTTCATCATTTCTTTTTAAATATCTAACCAATCTAAGAAAATAGAAATAACCTTTTAGAAACTGCTATATGTAATTATAAATTAAAAAGCTTCAAGTACTTGTTAACTACTTTAAAAATTCATCCAAACTTATAATTTAACATTTCTAATATATATGTAAACTATACTATCACTGTATATACTTTTATTTCTTTTCTTCTTCTTCTTCTTCCTTTTTTTGTTTTGTTTTTTTTTGGAAAACTATACTATGCTGTATACATTCTACACTATATTATTTTCTTCCCACAAAAAAAAAAAAAAAGAAACCTCAGACTCAGCCTGGGGAATATCTCAACAAAAAAAATTCCCCAAATGTCATGCTCTCTATTAAACGTAGAGTTCTCATCTTCTATTCTGCACTTTGTTGAGTGTGGTTGATGGTAATAACATGATGATCGGCTGCGTGTGATAAACTCTGGTGCTCCACCGGTGCCACATCGGACTGCGGTGGCGCCACGGTCTTCAACCGGGCCAAGGAAACCAACTCATGAACAGAATCAGCAATCTTCTGAGAACAAGAGAAGGAATCAATGAGCAATATGATCAAAGTTGTAGCTAATACCATCTCCATGCCACCATTAAAGTGGCTACTCGTTAGAAGAGTCTTGAGCTCCTCGGTCGTCTTGTTCGCTTTCTCGATGTGGGACTCAGCCGTGGTCGGAGGAGTTATATCTCTTATTGCCATTGCCATGGCCTTCAAAGCTTTGCCTGATTCAGTGCATAGTTGCAAGCAATGTTCTTGATATTGGGTCTTCATTTCTACGGGCATCTGTAGAAAGAGATCTGAGGACTTTAACGAATGTTTAAATTTTATTTTCGTCATGATTTCTTGCTGTATCGTTTAGTATCTCCATTTTGATCTTGTTTAATTTCTAAAGTTTATAGATTAAAATAAAACATTTAAAAATTCAAAGATTAAAATAGAACCAACATGGACCAAAATAGAATTTAAACGAGTTCTATTTTTACATACTTGGATTTGATTGTTACTTAGATAGCTGTTGAGAACTTCAAAGCGGTGGGCACAGTCCCTTGCTAAGCTACCAATCTTGTGATACTGTTTCCAAGGGTGGTAAAATCTGAACTTTCCATGAGGAGGCTCCCATTTTGCTTGGTAAATCTATAAATATATTATTTAATTTATCGACGTGTCAATATTTTATCAATATTTTTATATGTTCATCGCTCCAGTATCGACAGTTAACAGATATTTTTATAGTATCGATAATAAATTGACAAAATATAAAAAATATCAATAAAAATATCACTTATACGAACCTAACATGACTTTTAGTAAATTTTAAGTTATTTAAAGAGAGGTGGAATGCTGATTTGTTATTTTAAATATTTATGATAAATATTTATTTTTTTATTTTTATAATCTTTCTATAAACAACTGAGACTTCAACATTTTTATCCAACATGATTCATATTACAATGATATCTACTTCTTCAATTTGCATCAAAGATTTAGAAGCATTTATAGTTTGATTAAATTCTCTCAAAACTCTACCTAATTTTGGAGTAGAAAACAAAAAAGTTGAATTTTGGGCATTAATATTTTTGAAGATGTTATGTGCAACAAGACGATGCTCAAACTTATTCCATTTCATTAATTTTTTTTTCACCTAACTAAAACATTAATCTAGTCAACTAGTTTAGCTTTTAACTCACGTGTGCCTTATATTGAATATTTAATTATTACATTTTTATCTACTCTCTTTACTATTTTTTTAATGAATTTAACCAAATTATTTATGACTATAATAAATTTAAAGTTAAATTACAAATTTAGTCCCTTGATTTTTAAGATTGTCCCATAGATTTTTGAACCTTAAATATCTAATAAGTTTTTAAAATTTCAATGTTATGTCTATTAGGTCTCTAGACTTTTGATTTTGTATATGATAACTTTTTCGACATTTTTTAAAATCATGGATTTATTAAAAACAAAATTGAATTTTATGTCTATTAGGACCCATAAATTTCAATGGTGCGTAATAAGTTATAAGTTCCATAAATTCAAAAAAATGTTTAATATGTCAGAAACAAAGGTAACAAAAAAAAATGAAATTAGTTTAGAGACCTATTAAACAATTTTTAAGTTCAGGGAGATAGTAGAAACAAAGCTAAAAGTTTCGAAGCCTACGCTATGATACATTTTAAAGTTTAAAGACTATTAAAAACAACTTTGAAAGTTCGCAAGGTCCGTTTGGTAACGTTTTTGTTTCTTGTTTTCTTTTCCAATTTTATTAACAAATTTAAGCATTTGATAACTATTTATGTTTATCCTTTCTCATTCCTTAGAAATATTCTCAATATTGTAAAGAAATTTTGAAAACAACCAAAACGAGATTCTAGATTCTTATTCCCGTTTTTAATTTGTTCCAGCATAAATAAAAATCTTGTTTTATCATTCTTGAATCCATAGGTATTGGAGGTCATGCAATTACATTTTTTTTAATAAAAAAGAGGAAACAGGAACAAGAAACGAGAAAGGTTTACCAAATGAGCCCTCGGGTACTAGATTTGTAAATCAACCTAAATTAAACCTTAAAAATCATGGACCAAGTTAAAACTAATCTCAAACAGGTATGAAATTAATTAAAATAGGCAATATAAAGTATAATTTTTTTGTTTTGTTTTTCGACTCACCAAAGATTCTTCATTTTGTTTAGAAGACAAGACACTTCTATACTTCAGCATATTTGTATTTGCTCCTCCAACAGACTCTCCTTGAGATGCTCCAAAATAATCAACCCCAAAACCTGCCATTGTTCAAAATACACATCTTTTCACAAATCTGACGGTGTAAAGTCGGCAGCCACATCAATTATTCCGACCCGTCGGGAATAATTATTTCTCATAAATCACATCCATACAACACTCTAAAGATTTTACCTTCAAAGAATGTCCCTAGATTTTCAATATTGGTGGCAACCATTTGGTGAAGATCGGAGCCAGCCCAAACAGGGCGAACAAAGATGCAAATAACCACAGCAACAAGGCCACCAATCAGAATATTTATAAGCCTATGCCAAGCAAGTTTCAAGATCTCATCGTCTCTAAAACTAGACACTGTCACCATACTAAACGTCAACATGAATATCAGAAGCCCGTAATCGTATCTCGCCTTCAGCTTCGGGACGAATCGAAAATACGTCGTTGCTGCAGCTGCATTATTTAGATTAGAGAAATTAGATATAAAAGTTAAGATCGTAAAGTTTTCTCTATGTTTTACCCCCTTCCATGTGGAGTTTATGTACCTATTATGCATATGAATATCCCAAGCAATACGGGGTGTGCAATCTTTCCGCTAAAGCTTGCAATGTAATGAGCTCCAAACCCTAGAGCTCCGCCTATTGAAGTTGCCATTCCTCTATTCAACCCTTTTCCAAGAGTTGTTCCTGTTATTCGACGTTTAAAGTATTGAGAGATTAAATTTATCGTAATGCAACTGTTTAAACTTTTAGATTAAGTGATAATTTAACTTTTAGATTAAGTGATAATTTAACATAGTATCAAAGTAAGAGATTTGGTGATGTCATTTTCTCTTAGGAACTTCTTAAATTTGTGTTAATTTAACCCCAAAGTGTTTGTAGTCCAACGGTTAGGATAATTGCCTTCCAAGCAATAGACCCGGGATCAAATCCTGGGAAACGCATAAATAATAAATTAATTTTTTAAAAAGATATGTGCTAATTTTAAAACCCACAATTTTATTGAGGGTTAAGCCATGATTATTCAATTTGATGGAATCGACGACAATGAACAATGAACTAGTAGATATGTTTCTATGCTATGTATTATATGGAGAAACTTAGACTTACCAACAGAAAACTCAAAGACGACAATGACAGTGATGATAGCCCATATGGAAGATGCACCAAAATTGTCATAAAGAGGCTCAAAATAGTAGAACAAAGACACTATGGTAATGGCTAACGCAACCTTTAGAGAGTGAACTATTCGTCTTGGATCGTCTTTCCCCACCTTCTTTGTCTTGTTTGCTAATTCAGCAACTTCTTGCATCAACTTCTCACCCATGGCTTTCGGCCCGCCACCGCGATCGCTGGTTTTCATCTCCATCTTGGAGACGGGAGAGGGAGATGAAGATTTCGCGATTTGGAAGTGAGTTCTCTTTTCGGGTTTTATAGGAAGAACTACGCGGGGCGAAAAAGGAAGGAGGAGAACAATTGATCTAATTAAGCTGACAAAAGATATTAAGATTTTAATTTTTTTTTGTCTTTAGTCAAAATATCATTGTAAAAGTAAAGAGTAAATTTGGTGCGTAGCAAAGTTTTGTAGTGATTTAGTTTCCTATATTTTTTAAATTATGTCATAAGTTAAAGCTCGTAATAATTTAGTTCCTGAAATTTAATAGGTAATGAATGATATAGTTTAACATTTTTAGCGGTTTAATTAGTTACTCTCGCAAAAAATCGTTGCAATCGAGGTTTCTTGCGTGTGTATCGATCAATAAATTAGTCAAAATGACCAACTGTATTTTTGAACTAGAAGATATCATAGTAAAGTAAAAATGGGTTACTTCAACTCGGAGAAAATTTATGATATAATGTTTTTGAAACAAAACATTATATTTGAGGACCATAACAGTACATAAGCTTGCAAGTAAATGCTGCTTTTGCTAACCGATCGACTGGGACGATGTTCGAAACCCTACGAATGTGGGAGAAAACCACCTCCTGAAACACATTCTTCATCGATAGGGGCTAAATGTTAGAACATTATAATATAACAAAATTTATTATATACTAAAATAATAATGAGTGGTTATAAATTTCAAACTAAATAGACTAAATCGTTACTTCAATCAAATTATACAAAGATGAACCGTGTTAAAAGGTGCGAAAATGCTTTAGGATATGAAAGAATATGCTTTATAGTATTTGCCTATTTGGTATGAGTTTTGGGATGTCCCGACCACTCTAAATAAAAAATGATCCATTTGGTAACGTTCTTATTGTTTCTTGTTTTTCTTTTTTGAGAAACATGTTGGAGGTGATTCCTCATCTCACACGTGGCATGAAGTAATTGGATCATAAGAGATGTACGTGTCCTATACTACCAAGGCAGAAGTTTCACCACCTCGGTCATGATTCCTCTGGTCGAGCCAATCTCTTGGGTGGACGAGCCGACCAAGTCATATTATGTATTGTTCCCAAGTCATTTTGGTTGAACCGTTTGCTTACCAAGGCAGAAGTTATTAAATTTTTAGAGAGAGAAAAAGGAGAGTAATATGTTAGAACAAGGAGAAAAAAAGGAATATACAGAGGTGAAAGTTTTGGAAAGAGAGAAATAATAGTAAATATTTCAAAGAATAAAATATTCGAGAGGAAGACAAATCTTTTAAGGAGAGAAATTTAGGCAGAAAAATTTTAGAGTGCCAACAAAATTTGATGTCAAAGAAAAAAAAGTCTAGCATGAGAAGAAACAAATGACATTATTAAAAACAAAAATCTATTTTGAAATTTTTTTTGTTTTTGAAATTTACTTAAAAGTTTAAAAGCATTTTTGAAAAATAGAAACAAAAAATTGAATTGATTTAGTTATCAAATATGTTTTTCAAAAATAAAAAGCTAAAAAAGAAAATGAAGGGCTTGTTAACCATTTCATTTGTTTTTTTTTTTTTTGTTTTTGGTTTTTAAAAAACAAGTTTGTATAACCATTTCTGTTTTTGATTTTTGGTTTTTCTGTTTTCTATTTTTAATTTTTAGTTTTTTATTTTTAAAAAATAAAATTCATATATGTTTTATAACTATTTTTTTTTGTTTGAAAACCATTTTTAATTTTATATTTTTAAAAAGTTAGAAAATTGAAAATATATATTAGAGAGAAGATTTTATAGAGGGTACATATGATAATGGTGTGGGGCACGAGAACTAATGATGTCCTCTCTCGTTCTCGTACTCGTGAAAATTTTTAATCACCTGTTTCTACCTCGTTTTTTAGTTCGAGAATCAAGTTCCAAGTTAAATAATCCTTATTTGGTGACGGGGACATTCGTGGCAAAAATTACCGATTTTATAATAATTTTTTTATTATTCTTAGAATTTAAAAGATAAAGAAGTGTAATAAATATATATTAATAATTGTTAGGATTACTGGTATAAATAATTAGTTTTAAAAAACATTTAATATTTTATTCACAATTTAGTAAATGAAATCGGAGACGAGGTCGGTACATGCATTTCCTATTCTATGAGAATTTTTGTTATCCTTAATGTAGAGATATGAAAATAGATAGAGATAAATAAACTTTTGGAAGAAAACATTTAGAGAGCTGATAAAAACAAAAAAGATTTAGAAACAAAATTCGGTAAAAGAGAAGTTAAAAGACAAAAAGAGAAAAATTTTAGAGAAAAAAAAATAAAGTTGAGAGGGAAAGATATGAAAAACGGAAAAAAAAAATAGAAAGAAAAATAAAAGTTATAGTAAGAAAAAAAATGTAGAGATAAAAAAAAATTACATTTTAGAGAAAATAAATAAATACAAAGTGAAATAAAATTAAACGAGAAAATAATATATGATTTTTAGAGGAAAAATATATTAGGAAGAGGAAAAAAAATTATAAAAATCACGAAATTTTAGAGAGGAAAAGATTAGACAAATATTAAATTTTTAGAAAAATAAATAAGAGTGTGATATGATAGTAAAAACGAAAAAAAAATGAAAATTTTTGGAGAGAGAAAAATAAATAGTATAAAGAGAAGTATATGACAAGTGAGAAAATTTTGTTGGAGATGATTATGTTGAAGAAAAAATATGTTGAGTATTAAAAGAAACAATAAAAATTTTGAAAAACATAAATCTGTTTTTAAAAAACTACTTTTTTTTCCTTTAATTTACCTAGAAGGTCAAAAATGGTTTTTGAAAAAAGAAAAACAAAAAGTTGAATTTGTTACCAAACAATTTTGAAAAACATGCAAAAATAAAAAATAGAAAATGAAATGGTCATCAAAGGACCCCTCAATTTTCTATTTTTTGTTTTTTGAAAATGTTTTTCATATCCTAAGTAAATTTCAATCTAAAATAGTTTTTAAAAACAGAATTCTATTTTTAAAATCTTATTTTTTTTTCCTTGTAATGCTCAATTTGTTTCACTCTAAAATGTTTTCCTTCTTGAATTTCCTGAATTTATCTCTAAAATGTTTACTTTTACCTTTCTAAAATTTCCATCCTTTGAATATTTATTTTTATTTTTTTCTTTCTCTAAATTTTTCATCTCTATATGTTTTTGTTTTTAATTTTTTTATAATATATTACTTTCATTTTTCTCATTCTAAAAATTTAATATTTTTCGAAATTTTTGCTCTCTCAAATTTCTCTTTTATATCTTTTCTTTCTCATTCTATTCTATCTTTTCTCTAAAATAAACATCTCCCATTTTTCTTTATCTAAATGTTTTCTCCTTTAATTTTGTTTCTTTCATTATAACTTTTGGTTTTTGTTTCGCCTTTTATCTTTTGAATCTTGTTTTGTTTTTTTTTTCTAAAGTTTTTTCTCAATATAATTTTTCTTTTTCTTTCTATAACATATTTTTTTCTCTCATTTCTCTTTTTGTCTTTAATTTTTCTCTCACTAATTTTTTTTCCTTATCTCTATAAAATTTACTCTATCCAAAATTTATCTTTAAAAAGTTTATTTTATCTCTTTAAACTTGTATTTTCATTTCTTTACATTAAGGATGACAAACATTTCTACTAGGTCGGATCCTGGTCACCAAGAACAGGGAATGCATGTCCTTAACCTGTTCCCAATTCCATTTTTTAAATAATGAATATATATTTTATTCACATTTTAATTAAAATGTGAATAAAATATTAAATATTTTTAAAACTAATTATTTATACTAGTAATAAATAATAATTCTAAAAATAATTTATATATATTTATTACAATTTTTTATTTTTTTAAATTGTAAAAATAAGTAATTTTTGTCGGTTATATATCGTGTAAAAGAAGACAGCTCAACACCAACTACAAACACAACAACCCACTGATATGGAAAGCAAGTCTAATATGGAACCAACTCACTGATATATCTGGCCACATCCTTCTGCGACATTTTAAGGCTCCAAATATTCAACCAAATATTTGGTCTCAATCACAGCTCATAATTGAGATTTACCGTTGGAACATATTCCATAACAAGAGGAGGACTTTTCTTATTTTTCCATTGAGAATCTCCTGCCTTTTTTAGCATGACATGTGTGCTAGTATATGTATATTCTTTGTGCATCAATTGAATCAATACAATCGGTATAACATTCAGTTTGGAGAGTGTAGACTATTGAAATTTGTTCAAAATCTGTAGTACTCATGTGAGGTTTCTTCAACTTCGATCTCGATTCCAAAAAATCAAAGAACGGATGTGTGGAAACGGAAGACTAAAAATTGTCACAAAGACGAGAATGGTAGAGGACATCTCACTCCTGCTCACACCGTTGTCATCTCAACTCTATATACATTTTTTGTTTTCAGTTTTTTTTTAAACATAAAAATAAAAAATAGTTATTAAACATATATAATTTTTGTTTTTTAAAAAAAAAAAACAAAAAACAGAAAACAGAAAATGAAAGAAACCAAAAACTAAAAACAAAAATTGTCCATATCAAACGGGCCCCAAATAGGCCCCAAAAATATGTCTACACTCACCTATACAATTTTTGTTTTGGTTTTTCTTGTCTCAATTTTTCTCTTTTGTTCAAAATCAGAAGAGATTTGAACCTCCAACCTTAATTAATTAAAAATATATTTAATCATTTTTTATGTATAAAGTCCTAATATTTTAAAATTAAATACATGTAACACAATAGCTTTAAATATTTCAATTTTAAAAGTAATTTTTCAAAGTGATTTTTTTTCTTTTTTTAAATTTAAAATTTGAGAGAGTTATCCACACTTTTTTTTACGAAGTGCTCTACTTGCGTATTTTTGATAACCTAATTTGGATTGAGTATAGAGATGCAATGAAAATAATCCGAGTGTGAATCGAGTACTTGCTGATTAGGCCTCCAAGTTCTCTTCTTGTTGCCAAATTTTATCTCTCCAAGCAATTACAAGAT